GCTGACATAACTAAAAAGTCACCAACAGACGATGAAAACCCTCGCCGGCGATCTCGAATCTTTAACAAAAAAGGCATACCGTTCGGGAAGAAATGAACCACGCACTCGTTACTTCCTATCATTGACTTGTTAGTGACTTTAAGATGTAACGAGTGCGTGGTTCATTTCTTCCCGAACGGTTTATCTTTTTGGTGAAAGAGTCGAGATCGATGGCGAGAGTTTTCATCGCCTGTTGGTGACTTTATTGATTTCTATGCGATATGCAATGCCTTCAGAAAGTAAAAAAGAGTTGAAAGTCTTTAAAATTAAATTATTATTTGAATAAAATTGATTAATATTATTTCAAATAAATAATCGTAATTAAACAATTGGTAAAATGTACACAAAAAACATAAGTAAAACTTAGTTATTAACAAAAAATTTAATTTTATTTTTTCACCAAATAAAAACATGCTATTACTCTAAACAAAAATGTTATTTTTTATTTTTGTGTTTTACTTTTTTAATTTATTAAAAACTAGCTGGCCCGGTCCGCGTTGCCGGCCCCTACTTTTAGTTTTTAATGCATATTTTTTAAGGCATTATTGAACACTGATCTGAATGATTTCAAAATAGTCAAAGATAATTGGTCTTTTACACCCATTACCTTAAGATAGAAATTAATTTATTTTTGTCATTTAAATTGTGTGTTGGAAAACCCATAAAGTCCATATTTTTCTTCATAGTATAATTCAATAACGATCCAAAAAATAATATTCGTGATTTTTTCATGTTTTTGCCACAATTTGATATTTCGGAGTTCAAAGCATGTAGACGTACATCCCACTTCTACGTTCCCAGCCAATATTCTCTTGAGAGTTATAAATTCAATAGTATACCAATTTTTTTTTTCTGACCAAACATTGGTTAGGAATGTGGATTTGCGGGTACACTAATGTGGGAACTATACTTAATAAAATGCCTATGTGGACAATTATCTGTAAGACGATTCTCTATCCCAGAGTAGCCTAAATACAAATTTTTAGCCAAATCATTTTTTGCGAGGATGGTTTCTTCTCGAATTACCAACTTTTGCTAAAATGCGTATGAGTAAAATATGGTTAAAATGTAAACTATACTTGAAAAAGGAGTGTACCCTTATCCGGGGGTCATATATCGTGACCTGCAAAAGCTATTTAAGATATCTTGAAAGTTTTTTTTTTCCTAAATGTCCAATTCGCTCTACCATTTTGCACCATTTTGCTCCAATGAATTGCATTTTGAGTTCTCATTGGGCGGATTATTGTAATATGAAAGAAATAGGTTCACATATAAGGGTTATACCAAAGCATGGTCCTATTCTTATAATTATTTGAAAAAATGTGTTGTTCTTCTTCAAATCTCAAATTACCAACATTTGATATACATCTGATATATATTTTGAACAACTGATTATTCATGAAACCCCTAGGAAAAATTTAAAACTCTATGGTAACTTTTGCGAAGTATAGAGCAAAATATTTGAGGCCCTTTGTGTTTGGTTAAACTATATAAAATGGACCCTAAAAACGTTTGATCCCCCCTTTTTGGGATTGTTATGTACCAACCAAACTGACTACTGATGATAGCGCATAGTCACCGTATAACGTTTCATGGGAGTTAAGGTTACTTTTAAGGTTTCGGAAGAATTTTCCGAGGAAATGTATCCTTTTCTTTCCAAATTTTCAATTTGCTCCACTATTATATTATATTATTTTATATAGTTCGCATATAACAGTGCTCTTCATATTCGGTATTTCACTGGTTGCAGTCCCAATGAATTTTGCATTTTAAGTTCTCATTGGATGGATTATTTCCATATCTAGTCAATTTCCATTGAATTTTTTTTTCGATTTTTCCCGATTTGAGAATTTTTGCCATGAGATCTCTTTTATCGTGTTTTTTAGCGATTTTGAAAAAGTAATTATCTTTTAACATTGGTCTAACCGCGATAAGTTATTTCGATATCATTTGACTGACTTCCATACAACCCGCCATCAATTTCAGTTCTCAAGAAATCAAGTCAATTAAATAAATTGGTATTAATATTCGAATTAAAAAAAAAATATATATAAAAAAAACACTACAAATGTACATTAGAAAAAAGTAAGTCAAAATGGAAAAAAAAATCATGCAAAATAAAACATTACTATTGTACATTTCAAAAGTCAAAATGAAAATTTTAATATATCACATTTTTACGCGATTTTTTTTGAATATTATCCTTTTCGGAAAAGAGACAATTCCGAATTTGTATGAATCGTTAAAATCGGATCAGCGGATCTTGAGTTATAAGCGTAGTAACTAACACAACTTACATTTATATATATAGATTATTTGAATACATACCACAAAAAAAAATACTGATAAAAAGACACAGTTATTTTTCACTAAATAAATGTAATATATTTTTTTCATTTAATATAATTTTCACTTGTGTACCCGTGCTCAATGCCGATCTCCGATAAACTGAACTCGTTTAATTTTGTTCTCCTTTTTGGGAGAAAAACAAAACAATCGTATTTTAATCTACTTGAAGTGCCAAAAAAGTTACTATTGGAGATGAAAATTGGTTGACTGTGGTGGGGCAATAGAATTGTTATTGCAAATCGACCAACTATCGACGTTTCACAAGCAGGAAGCGACAAATTAGTGTAATATTAGACGATGGAGTTAGAAACTCACATCCAAATGCTTGCAGGGTATGCTCTAGAGCAAGGCTAGGCAAAGAGTATCCCTTGGGATATCTGTGTATTCACCAACACAATTGTAAAAAATAAATTGTTTTGAATTTTCTGTCAAAATGGTTTTGGGAGAATATTTAGTTTTGTTCGAGCAGTCGATGAGGAAGGTGCTGTCAGATATTTTTATGAATACACCGTAAGAAATATTGAGCACGTAAATATATCTTATTTGAAACAAATATTTCCGAAATTGTAAAAATTACAACTGATAAGATTTATTTTTGATTGATTTCTGTTTGACAGAATTTGTATACGGATTCACATGTTAGGAGTAGGAATTCATTTCATATTGACCGACAAATTAATTGTCCTTCTAAATTACTAGACATTTTCATATCCCCCGATTTCTATGGAATGACATGAACATTTTAGGAAAAATAGCAAGATGTGATGTTTATTATTCTGTTTGTAATTGATAGAAATAATTTTGTAGGACCCAATACCGGATATGAGTTTTTGATCAGAGTAAAATTCTACAACTATTTGCGTATGCCTGTATTTCAGCCTGTAGTAATCGTTATTATTTTAAAAGGGACAACTTGGATGTTGCCATGTTATTTTATTTTAAATTTCTTAAAATATCAACTTATTTTGAAGGACATTTATATCACCTTTTTTTCAATGAATCATAATTGAAGTAATTGTGTAAATATAGCTCCGAATTTCTACCAACGAATACCGATTACAAATTGACAATAAAAACAAAGCAAACTTAAAGAATGAATTGTAAAAGTTGGAGTTGTTTTGAAAAGAGAAAAGTTTTCAGATATAAAAACTTACAGATAAGAAATTATTTCTCACTGTGTAAGGAGAGGCAAAGAAACACTTGCAATATTTTGTTATTTCAAGACACATACAATCACAAAAAAATTTTAAGGCTCTCTGCCTAGCCCTGCTCTAGAGGAATGCAGTAACATTTGTGTTTGTATTTGTGTGGTTTTTCTCTATTCCACCAATACATTAACAAATCGACGTTGCGAGAGACTTTTCTCTCCACGGCAGTGCAGAAAGATTCAACTAAGAATGAGTAATTTTTAAATTTTGTCATCGGCATTTCTTTGTAATGACAGTGACATTGCAAACATTTACATGAAAAATTAAGGAAATTTCTGAAATATGATCTAAAATATAATCTGATTTCATGAAATATGATCTAAAATATAATCTAAATGCATATATTTATATGAAATTAAATGCACATCTAAATTGTAGCACTTGTCCATTTTTTACTTAAAATTGAAGTACGGATTTCCAAAAATCTCCTTTTTTCAAAGTGCACCACTCACAATCAAACTTGCTAATTTTTAATATTTCCAATATAATGTGAATTTTCTAATTTGAATATTTCATTTTAAATAAAATATTATACGCAAGCATTATGTAAGCAGAAATCAGCAAAAGTAAGCAAATCAAAGCAATTAGAATATAAAATATTTTTAAAAACTCCTAAAATTTGGTAAAGTACTGTTTGTTAAAAAATTTTAGTTTCCAAATTTTATGAATCCAGCTCTATCCGTTTACCCAATAACAAATTTAGTACCATTTCGAACTATTTGCACAATTTTAGTACATATTCCGAAAACCACCTCCTTTTTTAATTCCGGATACCATTAGAGACATCAATATCAAGCATGACGATTTTCGCTCTAATCCTTCACCAAATATCAAATGTAGTACGATTTAGAACTTTATATAAAACGTCTTTCCAAACTGCATCCAAATCTCAAAAACAGGTACCATTAATAACACAAATTTCCAATCTCATCGGAGGAAATTTCTTCCATTAGGTAATTTTCGTAGAAATATAGAGCACATTTCCAAACCCACCTCCACATACCAACAGAGATATCAATATTAAATTTCAGTATTCCAGCTTTATTGCCTCACTCAATGTCAAATTTATTACTATTATTAAGTGCTTTTCATACAAATGTAAGACTCATTTCCGAACCACCTCCACATACCAAGAGAGACATCAATATTAAATTTCAGGATTCCAACTTTATTCCTTCACTCAATGTCTAATTTAGTACCATTTAGTAATTTTCGTACAAATATAGAACACATTTCCGAAACAACCTCCACATACCAACAGAGATATCAAATTTCCGAATTCCAGCTCTATCCGTTCACCCAATACAAAATTTAGTTCTATTCTGAACTTTTCTAACAATTGTAGTACACATTTCCAAAACCACCCTAATTTTTCAATTCCAGATAACAACAGAGACATCAATATTAAATTTCAGGATTCCAGCTTTATTCCTTCACTCAATGTCAAATTTTCTTACAAGTAAAAAACACATTTCCAGCACTACATCCACATTCCTACAGAGGCATCAATGTTACATTTTAGGATTCCAGCTCTATCTCTTTACCTAATCCAAATCTAAAACACAGATGCAATTAGTAATCTAAATATCAAATAATAATAATATCATAATTTTTTCCCTTACTTACCTTCAACCATGTTTCCATGTTTTGCCCCGGTCTGTGTAGACTACATTCTCTGACATTTGACAACAAACTCACTATTGTGATTTTGTTTGTAGGGAAAAAATTGCGCGAGTTACAGAAACAACATCAACAACAACAACATTAACACAAGCACCTACAAAGCCACCAAGGTTAAATCAAGCAAATAAATAATAAAAATTATTAAGAATTGCTAATAAGTCAATAACCGTATGAATTGCTACATATAAAATTAGTAAGAATTTTAAATAGTTCAACAGACCGAAAAAGAACTGTAAAATAAAGAATTGTTCAATAAAAGAATTGTTAAATAAGCATATATTTAAATTTCAAAGAATTGTAAACAGGCCACCAGCTATAGAATTACTAATAATTTTATAAATTGTCAAAATGCAGTTATTGCAATTTTCACTTTAAATAAGTTTATAATCGTAACCTTCATTTTAATTATTGTTTTCAATAAAGGAGAGTAATTTTTGAGCAACCAACGAATAAACTTGTGTTTTTTTTAATACTCGGATTACTACAAGAATTAACTGGCGCAGTCGGGTAGTTCTGGTTCCTGCGCTACAAAAAAAAAAAAAAAAAAATTAAATAAGTGTTGTGACGGTTTATCGCAAACGAAAAAAAAAAAGCGCATGGAATTACATAGAAGACGAAGGATAATCGTCTGAAAAGAACAGAACAGAACCAGCATCCGTGACGGATCATCACGAGGAAAAGCAGAACCAACAAGAGAGGACATCTGTACGGACATCTGCCAAGGAAAACTACTTTAAGGACAACCGATTCCAGTCAACGTTACCAACAATAATGTCAATAAGAACTATAATTTTAATATTGTAAGTGAAAATTTCTATTATTACCAAATTTATTGTGGAAAAGTGCTAGAAACAAGCAATACTATTAAATATTTTACTAAAAGATAAAATAGAAACATATTTTAAAGATTCAAGATTCAGTTTAAAGACTAATAAAAGTAAAAGTGAAAACTTATATTGTGAACAAATATAAAACAATTTAACCGTGTTTTTCAAAGAAAAGAAAAAATAGATAATATTTTAAATAATTTACCTATTAAATATTATTTAAGTGAATATATTTAAATATAAACATATATATTTCGATATTATAAAATAATTTTGCTTTCTAAAGAAAATAATTGATTGAATTAAAGAGAAAAAATAAGCATATGCGTAAATTTCGTCCTTATACTATCCCAAGAACCCTTATTCCTATCCCAGAATCTGAAACCGATATGAGTATCAGTCAAAATAATCAAAGTGGTGTAATGAATTCTACGAACAGTTCACCCTCGACAGAAAGAAATATACTGGATTCCTTAAGAATCCCAGATGCTGTCAAGGATCTTCCAAAATTTGATGGAAATCCGAGATTGCTATACGATTTCATAAGCAATGTGGAGGAAATACTTACAGTATTAACACCCATTGATGGCACCCCTCTTGGCAAGATGATTTTAAGGTCTATACGTAACAAAATTGAAGGAGAAGCAAATGAGATTTTGAATATGTATAGCACAGACTTGAGCTGGCAGAGCATTAAAAATAATCTCATATTACATTACTCTGATAAACGAAATGAAACTTCATTGATTCGAGACTTACACCTACTAAAACAAAATAATAAGACACTTGAGGAATTTTATAGTTCAGTTGTAGAGATCCAAGCTTCAATTAACAATAATCTGATGATACACGAGGTAGATGCCAACATAATAAAAGCTAAACGAGATTTATTTGATAAAATGTGCCTTAACACATTTTTATCTGGACTTAGAGAACCATTAGGCTCTTCCATTAGGGCTATGAAGCCAGATACTTTACCGATAGCTTTTTCATACTGTATTACCGAACAAAACATGTTTTATATAAGACAAGAAAACAGGAACATTTTGAAAAGGCAAGAAACTCATAGACAGTACAATTCACAACATTCTTACCCTAACATTAAAAAACCATTCACTCCAAATCATTATAGACAACAAAACGCGATTTATAGTCCACCTATGCATTTCAATAGACCACAATTACCAATGAATCAACCATTTAATAGACCCCAATTAAATTTACCAACACCAATTAATAGACCTCAGTTAGCACAGAGTTTTTTACCAACACCTATGCAAACACAATACCCTACAGCCACAAACAATCAAAACCAATTTAGCAATTTTAGACAACAACGTTTAGACAGTAACACAAATCTTCCACCACCAGAACCCATGGACACTAGTTCAGGCTATACTCATCTAAGGAATAATAGTGGACAAACACGTAGATTTCCAAGAGAAGTACATCATATTGACCATAACTATAGGAACTTTAATACCTATTCAGATCCTGTAAACTATAACATTCCTAATTATTTACCTGAGTTGGACAATTACAACGAGATAGAGGATGTACAAAATTTTCAATTAGATGCCTCCAAAACCCAACAGGATACCTAGACATAAACAAACATGGCACTAACCTGCCTTACATAAACATTTCATCTCCATTTGGGCGTCCACTCCGTTTTCTTATAGACACAGGCGCATCAGCATCCTTTATAAACCCAGAATATACAGGAAAATTAAACATAGAAAACTGTGCACCAATAATCATAACCACTGTGTTAAACAAACACCAATTGAATACAAAAGTTAACATCCCTATGTTCATAGAATTCCGAGAATGTGGAATCCTGGAATTCTTTGTCTTTAAATTTCATAACTATTTCGATGGTCTCATTGGACTCGATATACTTACTAATTTAGGTGCAAAAATAGACCTCGAGAAAAAGCAATTAATTACAAACAATTGCTGCATCCCTTTGTCTTTTAAACCAAACTTAACTTCCGGTAAATTTCTTATATCACCAAAAACTAAAGCAATTATGAAAATTCCTGTAGATTTAGAAAGTGGCGATTTCCTAATCCCCGCAATATCAATTAACCCAGAAGTAACCATTTCACCTGGTATGTACAAGGCTGAAAACTGGTACAGCTTCGTTGAAATAAATAATAAGTCAAACTCGGACAAAATAATTTTAATCGAAAACCCAATTAAAGTAGATCCAATAAAAAATTCATATTATAGGGAAATTAATAATATAAGCTTCGAACATATTCCTGAATTTCAAAGCCCTCAGTTACTGGACAATCTTAGAATTGATCATTTGAATATGGAAGAACAAAAGGTTATCACAAAACTATGTAAAGAATTTGAAGATATTTTTCTTCAAGATAATCAGTCCCTTACCTTCACCAATAAAATCAAACACAACATTGTCACAAGAGACGACATTCCTATTTACACAAAATCATATAGATACCCCCATATCCACAAAGAAGAAGTAAAAAAACAAATTTCAGACATGTTAAATCAGGGTATCATACGGGAAAGCTACTCACCATGGAGTGCACCTGTTTGGATAGTCCCAAAAAAAGCAGATGCTAGTGGGAAAAAAAAGTGGCGTTTAGTTATTGATTACAGGAAACTAAACGATAAAACAATATCAGATAGATACCCAATACCAAACATAAATGAAATACTGGACAAACTTGGCAAGTGCATGTATTTTACCACATTGGACTTGGCTAGCGGATTCCATCAAATAGAAATGAATCCAAAAGATATTCCCAAGACAGCATTTACAGTAGAAAATGGGCACTACGAATTTGTGAGAATGCCCTTCGGCTTAAAAAATGCACCATCAACATTTCAACGGGTGATGGATTGCGTTCTTAAAGATTTGATAGGAACAGTGTGTCTTGTCTATTTAGACGACATCATTGTCTATTCAACCTCACTCCAAGAACATTCGGAAAATTTAAGAAAAGTTTTTGAAGCCCTTAGAGAAGCTAATCTTAAGATTCAATTAGATAAGTCTGAATTCTTACATAAGGAATGCGCATTTTTGGGCCATTTAGTGACCACAGAAGGAGTAAAACCAAATCCTGACAAAATAAAGGCGATCCAAAACTTTCCTATACCCACAAATCAAAAAGAAATAAAATCGTTTTTAGGTCTACTAGGTTATTACCGTAAATTTATTAAAGACTTTGCCAAAATAACAAAGCCATTTACAGCTTGTCTGAAGAAAAATAAAACTGTTATAGTCGACGATAACTATAAAAAAACGTTTGAAATTTGTAAACAACTCTTGGTAAATGACCCTATCTTACAATATCCAGATTTTTCTAAGCCTTTCAATCTTACGACAGACGCAAGTAATTTTGCGCTAGGAGCCATTCTTTCGCAAGGACCTATAGGGAACGACAAACCGATTTGTTACGCAAGTCGCACACTCACGACATCGGAAATCAATTACTCAACAATAGAAAAAGAGCTCTTAGCCATAGTTTGGGCTACAAAATATTTTCGACCATACCTATTTGGTCACCAGTTCAGAATCATAACAGATCATAAACCACTCACATGGATTATGAGCCTGAAAGAGCCAAACTCTAAATTAATAAGATGGCGATTGAAATTAGAGGAATTCGATTATGAAATTATATACAAAAAAGGCAAACTAAACACAAACGCCGATGCCCTTAGTCGCATAAAGACTGACACATCAGTCAATCTAAACATAAATGCATTTGATACAACGTCAAATCAAGCCACTTCTGGTAGTACTATTCACTCTGCAGAGGAAAACTGCGATGATGGTATTCCGATTTCGGAAAAACCAATAAATGATTTTAATTTACAAACATTATTTAAGACAGGAAACTCTAATTCTCACATAAAACAAGAAGTAGTTTTTAAAAACAAATATAGAAAAACATTTACATACCCCAATTATACAGAGGAAATTATAACACAAATTTTTAAAAATCATCTAGCGCCCAATAAAACCACGGCAATTTTTACAGATAATGAAACTTTTCGCATTATTCAAAATGTATATTCCAAACATTTTGCACAAAGCAAAATTTTTCGTTTAGTTAGGTGTACTGAAATAGTAAAGGACATAAAAGAAAACGATAATCAGGATAAAATCATTCAAGACTATCACGAAAACAATAATCACAGAGGCATACAAGAAACCTATGACCACCTAAAACGCGAATATTACTTTCCATACATGAAATCAAAGATAGCTCAAACAATAAATAATTGTACTTCATGCCAAAGACTAAAATATGATAGACATCCTCCGAAGAATAAGTTTGAAAAACCTCCCACACCTGTAAAACCATTAGATATAATACATATAGACATTTACACGATTAACAGCAAAAATATTTTAACC